GCCCCCGTGCCCTCCCGGTCCCTCAGTCCTCCTCGTCGTCGTCGCCGGCGCCGCCGCCCCCCGCGCCCTTCTTGGCGTTCTTGCGCTTGACGCGGCCGGGGCGGCCGCCGCCGTACGGGGAGCGCAGGGAGAAGTCGATGTGTTTCTGGGAGTCCAGGCGGACCAGGAACGACGGGATGTTCACCACCTGCTTCCGCACCCTGGGAAAACAGGAATTAACACCCGAAACAACGGGATTAACACCCAAAAAAAAGGAATTAATGGGCCAGGAACGACGGGATGTTCACCACCTGCTTCCGAACGCTGGGAAAACAGGCGGAAAACAGGGATTAACACCCGAAACTACGGGATTAACACCCAGGAACGACGGGATGTTCACCACCTGCTTCCGCACCCTGGGAAAACAGGAATTAACACCCGAAACAACGGGATTAACCACCCAGGAACGACGGGATGTTCACCACCTGCTTCCGCACCCTGGGAAAACAGGCGGAAAAATGGGATTAACACCCAAAACAACGGGATTAACACCCAAAACAACGGGATTAACACCCAAAACAATGGGATTAACCACCCAGGAACGACAGGATGTTCACCACCTGCTTCCGCACCCTGCGGAGAACAAGCGGAAAAATGGGATTAACGGGTGGAAAAACCGGGATTAACACCCAAAACCACAGGATTAACGGACCAAGAACGACGGGATGTTCACCACCTGCTTCCGCACCGTGCGGAGAACAGGCGGAAAACAGGGATTAACACCCCAAAACGACGGGATCAACACCCAAAACAACGGGATGTTCACCACCTGCTTCCGGACCCTGCGGAGAAAACAGGCGGAAAACAGGCGGAAAACTGGGATTAACACCCAAAAACAACGGGATTAACACACAAAAAAATGGGATTAACAGCCCAGGAATGACGGGATGTTCACCACCTGCTTCCGCATCCTGCAAGAGGACCCAAAATGAGGGCTAAAACCCCAAAAATGGAGCCCCATGCCCCAAAAACAGGGATTAAAGCCCCAGAACAGGGTGAAACAGCCCCTGGAGGACCTACAGCCCCCAGAACAGGGTGGGGTGGTCCCTGGAGGACCTACAGTCCCCAAAACAGGGTCAAATGGCCCTTGGAGGACCTACAGCCCCCAGAACAGGGTGAAATAGTCCCTGGAGGACCTACAGGCACCAGAGGACCCCCAGCCCCCCCAGCACCCCGTCACGGGGTTACCTCCGGGGTGTCACCCGCGGCGGCTGTGTGCCGCAGTGAGCCTTGCCGAGCTGTTGCCCGCGTCACTCGGCGGCGTCACCCGGTGGTGTCACCCTTCGCAAGGTGTACGGCTGTGCGCCGCAGTGAGCCTTGCCGAGCAGGTGGTGCCTGCGTCACCCGGCGGTGTCACCGACAACAGCGTCCCCCTTCGCAAGGTGTACGCCTGTGCGCTGCAATGAGCCTTGCTGTCAACCGTGGTGTCACCCACAGTGGCGTCCCCCTTCACAAGGTGTACGGCTGTGCGCCGCAGTGAGCCTTGCCGAGCGGGTGGTACCCGCGTCACCCGGTGGCGGCACCCGGTGGTGTCCCCCTTCGCAAGGCGTCCGGCT